CCTCCTCGGGGTGAATCCAACCATTTTATGACGACGTGGTCATCAAAAGTCTCTTTAAAATTTGCATAAGACTCCATGGTTATACCAATAACAGCCTCGACAATAATGTAATAGGAATTTTCCCACTATCGAGAAATAATCAATCTCTCGACTTCACCGCCCAGATTTTTGAATGCTCAATTTGGAATTATTTTCTTTGTATTCAGTAGACTATTGAAATGAACGCTAGCTTTGAAGTTGATGAATCTTTAGTCATCAAATTCAAATTTCCCCTTTCCTTTGCTCATTATTGGTATCATTGCAATCTTTGAAAGAAATAAAAAAAATAATAATAAAATCCAAATAAATTCAAAAAATTTTGAAAATCACAATGTGGAACGTTCTAAACTTAAATCTACTAAATAAGAGTTCTTCACTAAAGGATTTTCTTAAAATCTCCTTAAAAAATTTAAAATTTCGGATCTCAATAATGTAGAAGAAATCCTTGATGGAAATAAAATTTTTTTAGTTCAAAGTGTAGCTCTTACCGAGAGAAGATGAAATCCAAACCTCTTTTGGCTTCTAATCCCTTTAAATCCAAGTGTTTGCAAGCCCTAGGGGTGTAAACCAAAGGTTGAAGGTGACCGAAAGGGTAAAAATGACATTTTCACTGTGCAATTTGCGAAACTTTAAAGTATTTGGGAATTTCTGGGTCTCAGACGCCGTCGGCGCCAGTGCCAAAAATATTCAATTTTCATTATTTTCGCACATTAGTTATTTCAATTTCACTTCAACATCTAATTAGTCTCTTTAAACAATAATATTCATCCACAATAATATTCATCCTTAAATAGTCATCCTTAAATAGTCCACAAACAACACAAAACTAACTTTTATATATGAAATTCCAAATTTTTACAAACACGGATTTTTGATCACAGTAACACATATATAAAGTAAATCACACTATAATTCAGCGTTGAAATCAAGCCACAACACTAGAAAGCTGAAAAATAAACTATACATACAATTAAAGTGATAGGAGCTTTAAACCAAAGCAAATCCAACACAATTACATTAAAGACATAATTAATTTTAAGCAATGGAAAGTCTAACTTCTTCAATTACTCCTCTTCATCTTCAGTACAGTCTCCTCCTCTAATATCTCCCATAGACTGGTAATGTAAGTACAAATTGTAGAATGGTCAGTACGTGAATTGATCAGTCAAATTTTCACTGATCCATTCATTCTTCTTGAACATCTGCACCAAACTTGCTTCAATCCATCCTGTATGATTGAAGTGTTCCTTCATCCCCCAATCTAAGTGATCAAAAAGGTAAGTAAGATTTCCTATCACATTTATAATATTCCGAAGTTCTCCTTCTATCTTCTTTATTTTCTTCTCCAAAACTTGTGAACTTCCAACTGTACTGGGCATTAAGGATGTCAAAGCATGTGATGATTGATTCAAGATAACGTCCAATGCTTCGTTTCCATTCCCAATATAGTTTGCATCAATAGAATCTATGAGCTCCCAGGGTAATAACACTCTCTCCCTGGAATTGGAAGCCATGGATTTCAAAATTTAGAAGTATCTGGTTGTCTAAAATGGTTTTCATGCCTTTAAAAACACTTTTAGGCAGTTATTTTGAAGCAAAATCCTACCAAAGTCTGCCAAAAAATCCTTAAATTGCTGAAACTGTATTAAGCACTGTCGGCGCCCCCAATGGCGTCGTCGGTGCCATGGCTCTATAAACGGGCGCCATCGGCACCCATGCTGGCGCCAAAGAAAAAATTGCGTCTGTTTCATCTTTGGTTCAATTCATTCCCAAATTTTTATCCAATACCAATATTTGTCTTGATTTATGATATCTAAGATTGTGTAGATTTCTAAGGTATTACAAGCGCTTGGTTTAACGTCGTCAGCTCGACACACCAATGTTTATTCTGGATGACTCAACATCAATATTTCTTTAAATTGTGGCATGTGCCCTTCATAATAATGTTTCAATCGATGCCCATTAACTTTAAATATCTTTCCAGTTTTAGGATCTATAATAATAACAGTTCCATAATGATAGATTTTGATGACATTGAATGGTCCTAACCAACTAGATATCAATTTTTTTGGAAAAAATCTCAATCTAATATTATATAATACAACTCCTTGTCCAGCTTCGAATTTCTTTTTTATAATCCTCCGATCAGGCCATATTTTCATTTTCTCTTTATAGATTTTTGTATTATCATATGTTTCATTTCTAATCTGTTCAAGTTCACTGAGTTACACTAATCTTTTCTCATCAACATCCTTTATATTAAAATTGAATTCCTTAATAGCCCAAAATGCTTTAATAGCCTAATAGCCCAAAATGCTTTATGTTCCAACTCTATTGGTAAGTGGCATATTTTACCAAAAATAAGTTTATATGGGGACATTCCAATAGGAGTCTTATAGGCAGTTCTGTATTCCCATAATGCAGTATCTAATTAGCAGACCAATCTAATTTATCAGAATTTACAACTATTTCTAAAATTTGCTTTATTTCATGATTTGATATCTCTGCTAGACTGCTAGTTTGGGGATGACAAGCAGTTGAGAATTTATGCATGATATTATATTTTCTATTCAATTTCTCGATCCTCTTATTCCTAAAATAGAATCCTCCATCCGTAATAATCACTCTGGGCATTCTATATCATGTAAAAATGTTTTTATTTAAAAATTTTGAAACACTTCGAGCATCACATTTAGGTACAACAATAGCTTCAATCCATTTGGACATATAATCAATAGCAAGCAATATATATAAATTTCCAAATAAAGGCATAAATGGTCCTATAAAATATAATCCCCACACATCAAAAATTTCAACTTCCAATATGTAATTCAGAGGCATTTCATTTCTTCTAGAAATATTTCCTACTCGCTGACATACATCACATGTTTTAATATATTCATTAACATCTCTAAAAAGAGTAGGCCAATAAAATTCAGTTTGCAAAATTTTATGTGCAGTTCTACTAGTTCCAAAATGTCCTCGAAATTCAGAATCATGACATCGTTCAATTATTTGTTCAGTTTCTTCGTAAGGAACACATCTTTTGATGATCAAATCTTTACAATGTTTATATAAATCTGGGTCATCCCAAAAATAGAATCTTGCATCATGAATAAATTCATTTAATTGTTGATTTTTTACATCTGGTGGTAGAATATCACTCACACTATAATTTACTATATCGGCATACTACGGTATATTCTTTATATCAATCCTATACAATTGTTCATCGGGGAAAGTTTCTAAAATTTTATTTACAAAATCAGTTAATATTTCTTGTTCTAGTCTAGACAAATGATCAACAATTTGATTAACAGTTTATATTCTATCTACTACCACAAAATTGAACTATTGCAGCAAAAGTATCCATCTAATTAATCTCGATTTAACATTCTTCTTTTACATCAAATATTTGATAGCAGAATGGTTTGTACGCACTATATATTTAGCTCCAAAAAAGAAAGTTCTAAACTTATCAAAGGCATGGACAATAGCTAATAACTCTCTTTTAGTGGTGGTGTAATTAATTTTAACATTATTAAATTGGTTATTGGAATTGTTCTTTGAGAGTTATTGAAGGGTTATTGAGGGGTTATTATGACGTTATTAGGGACCTATTAGAGTTGTTCTGCGAGGGTTATTGCAGTGGAACCATAGAGCTTGCCCGAAACCAGGGGTTCACCGCGCGGTGTTATTGTCTTTGGGAGGTTTCTATAATTTTATCAATGATTTGTAAAAAGTATCGTTGAAGTATGTTCAAATAACATCATATTCATGAAGTTGATGATTCAGTTTGAATCTATCAAATTCAATATTATTTTGGGATTGTTGGAGTATTATTTCGGTGTAATTGGGGGTATTAACTCTAATAACGCCGCAATAACCCCCCAATAATGCCGCATGGTGAATAACTTCAATAATCTCCGCGGTTCCACTTCAACAACCCTCGCAAAACAACCCCAATTAGTCCCTAATAACGCCGCAATAACTCTTTAATAACACTTTAATAACCCATACAGAACAATTCCAATAACCCCAATAACCCCTAATAATCCCCCAAAAAAATCGCTGGGTGAACCATGCAAATAACCTCCGCGGTTCCACTTCGAAGAGGCCCGGGTCGGGACAGACGTAAAAAAAAATTATTTTTTTCATATTTAATGAGTGGGTCTGGTATAACACACGTGACGGCATATTACTGGAGTCAGCACGTAGAACTACATTCAGACTCCGCATGAAAAAGTTTTTCCTATTTGTGAGATATAAATTATTATATTGACCCACTTGTAAAGTTTGTTTTCCATCTGTTTTTAGTTATAATATGTGATATAAAAAAATATAATAAATTATACAAGTAAATTTAAAAAAAAAGTTTATTAGACCACTAAGCAAGGATCGAATCGCATGTAGGGCTGTAAAGGAGCCGAGCTTGAGCTCAGGCTTGGCTCTTGTTTGGCTCGTTCGAAATAGCTCGTGTTCGAAATCGGCTCGTGAACAGTGTGTTCGTGTTCAACTCGATTTAAATATTCGTGTTCGTGTTCAGCTCGTGTTCGGCTTGAAATTAGCTCGTTAAACTAAAATTGAGAAAAATAAATGTAAAGTGTGGAATTCAAACCTGGATCAAATATATACAAAAGAAGACACTAACCACATTGCCACATGAGATGTTATGATTTAAATTTAGACATAAATATATATAATATATTATTATATAAATAATATATTTAATATATTGTTATATAAAAAGTTATATAGTTTTTATTTTCGAGCCATTTTAAGCCGAACATGAACAAATTATTGTTTGTGTTCGGCTAGTTTACATTTAGATCTTAAAAATTTGTTCTCTGCTCACGGAGAGAGAGCCAACAGCACTAATTCCACGACAGATTTCGTCTGCAGTAAGATATATTAAATTTACAAAATATGACAAATTTATGGTTGCTTTGCTGTCATACACATGAGGATGATCGACTTTTCGCCAGCGCTCATTGCCCCGAAGGACCGAACCTCTCAGTTCAGTGAGAGTCTACAATTCTCCGACGACATCGGTGTAGCTTTGTTCCATTTGATGTTTCAGTTGGTCGCCTCAGGAGCTGTGCTCAAAATCTTCACACTTCAACGACTGCAACTTGCTAGCGGTGAAAATCTCTTTGCTTTGGTTTCAGTTTTCTTTTGCTAGATGGAGGGAGCAAAAGAAGAATTCTTAAGGCTTTTTAGGGACGATTACGGTTACCCTGACGCTCTTAAGAATATCGACGAGATGCGCTCTACTGAATTCAAGAGATTGGAAGGTTGTTCGTTTTCATTACCTCTCGCTTTTACCGTAAAGTCTGCAATTCCTATTGTTATCTTGATCCTATACCAGGGTTTAGTTTTTTTACGTTCGGTTATTTTTAGGGGTTACTTATTTGGATCATGCTGGAGCAACGCTCTACTCGGAGGCTCAATTGGAAGCAATTTTCAGAGACCTATCTACAAATGTCTATGGGAACCCACGTATTCTTCAATCTTTGTTACTTGTAGAAATTTATACGTGATTTATTGGGTTTATCTCTGTTTCATGGTTTTCATCAAGCTTACTTTAATTTATCAGCAAATTTCATTCCGACTAGGGTTATTATCGAGCCAAGCCGAGTATATCATTGTTTGGACTTGGCTTGGTAAAATTATAAGTTGATCATGTTCGGCTTGAGCTTGGCTCAAACTTTCATACATTGTTCAAGTTTGATTTGTGTAACTATTTCGATGTTTTAACTTAATTTGTACTTGATTTCTTTATCAAAAGTGAATGAGTATTTAAATGAGCTAAAAATTGAAACGAGAATCTAGATTTTCATATAAAAAATTTAATAAATTATTTTGCAATTCTAATCGCAGCTACTAATTTATTGATTATGAACTCTAAAATCTTTAAATTTTATTAATTAACTATCTAATTCTTATTAATAGGACTACACTAGTGGAAGAACTATATTGATCGAAAAGTTATAACGATGATCATTTACTTAGTCATATCTATAAGAAAATAATAGCAATAAGACAATTCATATTAATGTTCTTGGTAATTGCAGTGTGATGATCGTAAAAAATAAACTCAGTATATTCAAGGTTATGAAAACTCTACAAAAAAATCTTTTATGACACTCTTTAAGTGTAAATATCATTATAAATTACCATTCACTTATTAATAAAATAAATATATAATTAATAGTTAAACTAAAGATCGTATTGATATGATAATATAATTCTATTAAATCTATAATTAAATAAAGTCTAATTAATTAATTTTTTTTAAATAATGCTTCATATATATAATACGAGTTATTATTGAGCTTAATATCTAGTATTTAATAAGTTACTTGTTGAACAATAAATGAGTTTGGTCGTCAACATAAACGAACAAGTTCGATTATGTTCATGTTCAGTTCGTTTATGCTGCGAGTATTTAAAAATTGTTCAAGCTTGTTCATTTACTAATTTGAACGAGCATAATTGAACCTTAACCGTGTCAAGTTCAATTTGTTCATTGAGTGCATTGGTTCATTTACAACCCTAATTTTGACTATCTACACACTCTTTATTGGCAGTAAAAGAACATTTTTTATAAAGGTGACAAAATTAATTTATTGATACAAAACCCTTAATTCTTTCATCAACATTTGGGACTGACATGATGTTTTTTCTTAGAATTAATGTTTTTAAGGAACTAAAAAGGTATTGCAATGGAAAAACAATAATTGTCCGCATTTTTTCATCATATCAACTAACATTGTACCATTGCTTTAATATTAATCCAGTCAAATACTTCTTTTTCATTAAACGGTACCATCTTCAATAAATCTCTAATATGCCTTGCAGGCAGCGGAATTTCAACACATAGTTGCAATCAGTAAATCTAATATCTTTTTCGTGTGATTGTAAACCAATGAATAATTGTCATCTTTCTTTCAACTATTTTCTCTGAAATGCTTTCAACGTATTTCTAGAATGAAAATATTAATATCAAATTGCATATTAACTTTCAGTTGTTTGGTAAGTTTCATACAAAGAAAAATCTTAACTATTGCTTTTGAAGATGTTTTTGTTGGATTCATTGAAGGTATGCAACATTATGTTAAACATTTATTTTATGGGTTATGGCCCATGATTCTCATGATATAAACAACTGACTTTATACAAACAACAAATTATTTGAACTAAAGCTAAAATTAGGGTATTAAAAACAAAATAGCTAAACTTATTGTGCCAAATTTTTTATAATTATCATGAAAGTTATTTCATGATTTTATTTACCTTCATATGTGCATATTCAATTTTCAATAAGACTTGCATTACATGTTTGTATGATTCATGTTTTGTTTCTCATTTATTCTTATGAATAATGCTTTATTTATTTTGATGTTCTTTTTATATTTCTGTAAAAAAATCCATTTTTCAATGAATCTTAATAGGATATATGGTGTATTAATTTTTTTGTTTTGAAGAAGTTTATGTGAGCTCATGGTGAAAAGCTTGGCACGTCTAAGGGTTTTGTCTTTTAACAGAACATAAAATCACGAGGATTTAATGCTAAAATAACATTTTATATGTCCAATAATTATGCAAATGACCATTTAATTCAAAATAAAATTTATCCAACATTACATTGATAACACTGTAAGATATAAACATAAAAATTTTTTTAAGTTAATTAGTAAACTTAGTAGTGTGTGTGTGGCTCCAAAGTTCGCTGACAACATGGTCTCGAAGTAGTGCCATGTACTGCAACTGAGATTGCAAAACATTAATTTCAATAGAACTTTGTGAGGCAGGAGTTGATTTAGATTTTCTTTACGTGTTAATTATAAAATTTTCATTTTTCGTACTCCTCAAATAATGTATCTCCTCTGGATTGTGATCTTATAAAATTATGTAGCGTGCAACAAGTAATAACAATATAATGTTGTGTGCATAAACCATAGGGAGGCATTCTATTAATGTTTAAAAATATTGCTTTTAGAACTCAAAAACATCGCTCAATAACATTTCTTATACAAGAATGCCTATAATTAAAGAGTTTTATTTGTTTTTGAGGTTGAGCGCCCTCTTGGTAATCACACAAATGATACCTTGTTTCTTTATATGGTGTTAAGTATCTTGGCATATTATCATACCCTGAATCAACGAGATAATATTTTCCTATTTTCAAAAGATACATGTTTATACATATTTCACTATAAAGTTCATTTAGTAATTACATAATTTGATAAGAATAAAATTGACATATCTTGAGGTGGCATCAGAAAATTTAATTGATGATTTGAAATACATTCTAGAAATATTCTCACATCATTCGCTATTTCCTCCCAACCAGACAATACGCACACAAACATCATGTCAAATCCATATGTTTTCTTCAATTCGAAATTTGATCTTTTTGAGATACATGTGCAGGAACACGTGTTCCATCAATCACACCCATGCAATCCTATTTATAAAACTTACTTTAAATTAATATTTATAACTAAAAAAAAAATAAATTAAAAATTTTAAATTTAACATGCCTTAAATAAAGAATAGTACTGTACTTTGGATTATACTGGATCTCAGGACGAAACATCTCAAATGATGGTGGAATAATAATCTCAGTTTCCAATTGATAAATTGCTTTCAAAGTCTTTCTGAAATGTCCTGAGATTGTCTCCAATGAATGCGGAAATCGTTCAGCAACCACCCTTAGGTGTTCATTATGCGATAAAATAAACATAAAAATTGCAAGCCGTTCCTCTAAGGTGAGTCTTTTTGAGTCATTCATAAGACTTTTACGCATCAACAAGGTAGATAAATTAATGAAAACTTGAGGTTTTATTTTATAATTTTCAAAACAGTGAGCTCGATGTTCCCGCAGGATTTCATTTAAGCACTTGTGAACTTGAAGAGTAGAAGTTCAACATGGTTTTTTTTGTTAAATAATGTTTATCATAATCATCAACACAAGTAAGAGCGATTGTTAGTTCAAGTTCTTCATCAACATCACTTTCGAAATCTGTTATTGGATTCATCTGTTTACCTATTGTATGAATTGATAAAATATATGTGTCATATGATGGCGTCGGTGGCGGGCAGCTCTGCTAGGGTTTCGCCATTTGGTTTGAATCGTTCGGCTTTCAATCCGTGCTCAACAACGACGAAGTTCTCGTACTCGACTACGAAGGACTTTGTGCTTGTCAATCTCCTCTGCGATCGTCGTGCTCTTCTTTGCGCCCAACGACGAAGGGCTTTGGCATCTTCAAGCTTCTACAGTTTCGTCGACTCCTTTGTGTCTTCTGCGCGACTTTCCTCGTCGAGCTGCGGTTTTCACTGCTTTCCTCGTCGAGCTGAGACTGCCGCAGTTTCGACATCTGCGATTCGTATCTTTGGCGCAGCTTCGCCCCGACCTCTTTGGCTCGTCGTTTTTGCCCTCTGCCTGACTTGGCAGGGCTTCTACTTGCTGTGATGTAGCTTCTTTGGTGGAACCTGACAAAGCCTCATTTGCCCACGTGGTGGGTAATCATCAGGGGGAGACGACGGTTGTCTGCCCCTCAAGTTATAAGGAGTATCGTTATGGTATAGGTGATTGTCCCTTTATTAACAATGCAAACAAGAAAAGTGGAAAGACAACACTTTTTTTCTAAGTTAGAAATTTCAACCCTAACTGACAAATTCAAGTTTGTTCTTATTGAAAAATTTCAATGGAGACACTTACCTATGGAAGTTATCAGAAAAAGTTTTGATGATCTCAAATTAGCAGGAAAATAAAATGTGGAACTCATGGATGAGAGACATGTATTGATTCAGTTAACCGTGCCAGAAGACTACACTCGGATTTTCTTTAAAAAAAAAAAAATCTTAACATTGCTGGTAAACCAATGAAGCTACTCAAGTGGTCCTACTCAAACTCAAGTGGTCTCCGAATTTTGACCCCAATCATGAACCTCCTACTGTACCGGTATGGTTTAGTCCATCTGGTCTCAAAATTCACTTTTTTCATCATCAAGTTCTTTATTCTATTGGTGCCATACTTGGGGAACCTATGAAGCTAAATCTATCCACTTTCAACCTTACCAAACCTTCTGTGGTCAGAATATTTGTGGAAAGAGATATTACTTTACTTGATGTTAATGAAGTCTAGTTGGATACAACTCATAATGGATATTGGCAATTAATCATCATGGAGCATAAAACTCCTTATTGTTCTTATTGTAAGATGTTTGGGCATACCATGATAAATGCCATAAGCTTCATTCTGATTTGAAATCTAAAGATCAAGTGAATAAGGATGAATCTAAGAATATATCTGTTCCACCTGGAGAGAAAACTACCACAGGACAAGATTTGGTGTTTGATTCTTTTTCCCCTGTGGACCATCCCCTTGAAAATACTGTTTCTGCGATCGATGAGAAGCCAGATAGCCCTGCCGAGCAACCTACACTTTCAAACCCTATTGAAAATATTACTGAAGGACCCTTGCCTACACGGACTGATAATCAGCAGAACCTTGCAGCTCCCCATCTTCTGGAAGTATCAGCGGTAGAGGCGATAACTCTTACCTCACATATATTTGAACCTCTTGTGGGCACAACTGTGGACAATTTTTCTACTGCAGCACTACCACGATTGATCAATTGAGTCAATCTTCGGATGAGGAATGACAGATCTACACTTCCAGGAGGAAGAAGAAGAATGAAGAGTTACTTGAGCTAAGGAATCTGATTGATGATAATTTGGTTACTTCGGGCAATGGTACATATCTCACAAATTTATTAGTTGGTTCCCTTCCGAGAACTAGAGACAGAACTAAATTGGGTCGACCCGATTGGTCTTATTTGTGCCATCTTCTTTTGGGTTTTTAATTTTCTTTTTTCTTTTTATTTGTGTTGTTTCGTGTGGGTTGGGTGTCTATTTGGGCCAACTCATACAACCTATCTGTACCCTTTTCTCTTTAATATAATAGCCCTTAGGCTTTAAAAAAAAATCGAACAAAATAAAAATTTGAAAGATAATTTTTACGAGAAATCTTGAAGATAGAAATCAAATATTCTTTTTCATTTACAAGAAAAAAATAATTTATATGAACATTAGCAATGCATCGGCACAACCATCACAAGCTTTTGAAATCACAAACATACATCCTAATCATAACCCAAGCTAATAAAATGTTCGACAACAATCACGAAAGTGAAAAAAAAGTAAACATGGCACATTTAAAATACAAATACATAAGATAAGGAGGGCTCATAAGGTTCATCGTGATGAGCAAGTCATTTTAGATTTATAATCCAACCTTTTCCTTCTGCTATCAAGCATTTGAAGAAACATCTTCATCCATATTGCATCTTCTTGGAACTTATATAAAACTTTTGAGTAATTAACGCCTTCCAGAAATTCAGAAACTTCATATATTCAAACAACAAAAATTCAGAGCTCTCATTAGAAGATCCAGTTGAGTTAGATAGTTTTCTTTCATACTTCTCTACAGGTTTTGTTTCAATTTCTCGAATCTAATGTTCTTCCTTAGTGTTTGAAGGTATTCTGGTAGAAGGATGTTGTAGTGTTCCTATTGTAGTTGTGTCATTATAAATATGGCAGAGAGATATATATTGTGCATCTTTTTCTTGAAATATTTTTGCACTTTTATTAACTTATTTATTGGTAAATGAACATTATGATTAACAATAATGCGTGAATAATAAAATATAAGTTTTGGATTAAATATAATATGAAATAAATACCTTATATAATTTAGCCCATACATCTTTTGATGCAATCTCTTGACCAGTGGTTCTGTTATAACCAATTTTAGTTTCTTTCAATAAATTAGAAAATTCTCTCCAACGAGTTCTAAGTGTATTGAACTTATTTCTCAGTTGTTCTTGCTTGTATTTTTTTTTTGTAGAGGACTTTTTCCTCTCTGTGACTTTCTTAAGATTTCAGTCATTCATCTTTATCATGACATCTTAAGACCTTATGTACCAGCAATTCATTATTTAGCTAGTGAAATCAATGTTGGAAAGGATTAAAGACACTGATGAGCATTTTGGGTGGGTCTTTCTTGCTTCTAGCTCAGAAGACGCTGGGGCTGAACTTGATCATTTGAATGTTGTCCGGAGTATCAGGGAACTTTATGAGCTTGCAAACCCAAATTATTTAGGAAGATTTACTATTCCTGTACGTGCTTTTGGGTCTATTGCTCAATGTTTTCTTATTTTTTTTGCTCGAGACACCATTGAGTTAGTTTTATAATTATCCAACAGGTTCTTTGGGATAGGAAACTCAAAACAATTGTAAATAATGAAAGTTCAGAAATAATCCCGTATGTTCAACATAGAGTTCAATGCAATTGCTGAAAATGCTGACTTAAACTTATATCCCTCTCACCTACAAGCAGCCATTGATGAGGTGAATGAATTGGTTTATCACCTCACCAGAGCCCCTCTCTCTGAACAAGGTTTACCATCCCTCCTCTCCCTCATAGCTTCAAATCCCCCAAGATATCTCGCCTCCATTGCACAATTCCATCACTATTAGCATTTTAGAAGGGAGATGAAGACGAGAAGACTTGTAAACTTGAGAAAAGAAAATGTTGATAACAATTCAAGTCTATGCTATCACACTTACAGTCGCTAAGGCCGAAGGAGAAGGAGAAGGGCATGGCATCGGCGAGCGCGGTTTCAGTGAGCAAAGGGTAAAGAAGAAGAGCGTGACGTCGACGAGCGAACGTGAGAGTTTCGTGCTGAGAGGGAGATTTATTGGTCACGAACATGAGAGAAAAGGTGGTATCGCCAGGGAAATGAGATGGGCAAGGAGAGGCTGTTTCCCGAGTTTTTAAAACAGCAGAAAACATATTTTTGCTGTTTTTAGAATTTTAAAAATATTAGTGTTGAAACAGAAAATAAAAAAAAGAAATAAAATTAAAAATAGGTAACTAGACTCTATTTTATTGTTTCTTTCCTATTTTTGTTTTTAAAAACAAAAGACAAGAAATAAAAATTTATCCCAATCAACCCCTAAGCTTTTGGTTTTTTTTCTACCCTTCTCTTTTTTTTGCGTTGGGCCTCGTCTTAGCTCTCTATTTTTTACCTCATGGAGTGAGAAAATAAGAATGAGTTAAACTGCTTTATGAGCATTATATTTAACTTTACAATGATGAGGTCGAGTCAACAACAATGAGGTTGGGGTTGATCAGATTAACTTTGACAATGACATGTAGGGATGGTGAGGCGCTAGTTGCAGGGTCCTCACGGATAGAATTCGTTGAATTACAAAATTGTCAAAATTGGACTATACAAAAAATTTATATTTTCTTTACTTTTAAATAATTACCAAAAATTTTAAAATATGTATTTTATTCCCTTTTCTCCTAATACATTAAAAAAAAGAAAAAGAAAAAAAGGAATATAAAGCCTACATCACTGTGAATAACTTATATCTATTTTACATTAGGTCTATCACTAGTTCTTCCTAATCCTCCAATACTAATATTATCAACTTATTTAATAGAGCATTTTATATCCTCTATTGTACATGTTCAAATTAATTAGTCTATTTTTAATCAGCTTAATTTAAATACATGCTATCTCAACAGTTTGTCTAATAGATTAATTCTTTATTTTATTATTTTATTATTTTTTACCATCTATCCATCTTTGCTCTCTCATTTCTTTATGCTAAAATTTAAATTACACTACATTTTCAAATTAATTGTACTTTTATAAAATTGACCTTATAGGTTTCAATGACATTCTCTTATCACATAGTCATACAAAACATTTCTCCATTTTTTCTGCCAAACTTTAGTTATAGTTTTTATTTATACTACTATTCTTTTGTATAACCAATCCAAGATATTTAAACTAATCCTGCTTCGGTGTCATTTTATTTTATAAATAAATTTGATTGATGCTTTAATATCACGCAAATGTTGCATATCATACACTCAAGTATTATTTGCTTATTTTAAGCTGTATATCTTTTAAATATTTTCTAAGTTAGTTTAATTTTCCATTTATTTCAGGAGTCATCTCGCCAATTAGAACATTGTCATTTACATATAATCAAACATTTTTAAAAGTGATCTATGGTCAAGAATTTATGATCAGACTATAAAAACATTGGATTTTATTCTAAAGTAAAATTGCTAGGTAGATGGAGACGATCCATGTACCGTTGTACTCTTTTTTTCTCATTCTCATGGCTCAAGGGTTGATTTAGGGTTTCAAATTTTATTAGGCTTGGTTTATGTTAAGATTAAGATTTACTTGTTTTAATTTATTTGGTGTCTAGGATTTTAGATGATATTGAGGTCTTGATTCTTTCTTGAATGTAATGTTTACTGAGGGCACTCTTATGATTTTTTTGGCTTAGCTTTAGACATCTTTTCAAAATTGCTTAATATTTTTTTTTTGCTTTTGGTTTAAGTCTTTGGCCTTTTCTTAGACAGTCACTAATGTTTGTTTGCATATTTTATTGCATCAATGTAGATAGCCAGAGTGATTCCAGCCATGCAACATCTAATGTCTTAAATGAAGCACGCCGACAGGTAGATTTGAACATTTCACATTCTTTTGTTCAAATATTTGCTGTTTAAAATTTATAACATGCACACTCTATTTTGATATTTATGAAAAAGAATCTAAATTTTTTTCTTTAGCGATGGATCAACATCAACTCATAAATCAAGCCATCCATTACCGGAAATGACGCATATACAACATCTATTTTCTGTGTTTTTTTTTTAATTGTGAATAAAATGTTTTTTAATAATTTTGAAAGGAGCAGCCACTACTGAATGCAGGCAAGTGTAGGCACTGAACCCAATGGAAAAGCTGGTTGCAAGTTTTGATTGTAAACATAATCTGATTGGGAAGCTAAGTAGTTGCAGGTTGGCTTTGATCTTTTTGTAGTCTCTTGTGTTTGAAACTTTGATTTGATTAATTTTGGATGAGTCTTAAGATGGGCTAGAGAGACGAGTAGTAATATCAGTTGCCTCAACTAGTATCCACTAAAAGATGAGTCAATCCACACAAGTGTGATTTAGCATTTAGCTTAATTCGGGCTCAAACCATCAATGGCCTAGATGGATGCGTATTAGCAGTATCAACTTATAAAGGGTTTTCAAATATTAACCTAGTGATTCTAAAGAGTATTTTTCAAATAATGTTGTTTAAGTCGAGGGAATGATATTTAAATTGGAGTGATTTGTGATTCTACTGAATAGTTAAAATGGGTTGGTTATTTTACCATATGTATTGAGAAACCACTAATACAACATGTTCGCCGAATAAAGTCTCAATTTACTCAACTTCAGAGGATAGGCTAATAATGTTGTGTCAATAGAATGATTGCTAACCAATCATAACTTAACTAAAATGCTGTGCTTAATCTCGATGTTAAGATGACCAAATAAGGATTTGCCAATAATTGAAGAATGAAAATATTTAACTAGCACAATTGGTCCCTTCGTCAGCGAAGGGAAGGGATGGTTTGAATTGTGATGTGGAATTAAGTTTATGAGGGTGTGAGATTGCATCTTGACTAAAAAAATAGGGGAACTGATTGTTTGATGATAATGGATAAACTATATCGTTCAACTCACCAACAACATTTATATAAGAGTGAGGGTGGTGGGCATCAGGAGGTTCTTTTGGGGTTGGTAGAGGCAATGTAATTTCGGACTTCATCCAATGTCTTAGGAACAACCTAGATGCGAGGCTTGTTGAAAAATTAGTTGGAGGTGGATATTGGTTGAAAATTGAAAATACATACAAAGCACTGACCATAGATGAAAGAAGAGAACAAGCATGATAATGAATGTGAGAGGAAGAATAGAGGTTAACCTAATGTTGAAAAGAAGCTGAAAAAGAAGACCTAAAAATCTTCCAAGTAGGAGGGGAATAGTGGGGCATTCATAACGGTGTCAGAATACCCCTCGAGAGGGAAGTTGGTTCCATAAGACATGGTCCAAGAGGAGGTGAGAGCTTAGTCGGAACTACCCACAAAGCTGCATGAGGAACACACAAATAGTATTGGGATGTGGTAGAAGAGTGCATGCATTGCACATAGAAAGAGCTGTGTGAGAAAGTTTGCACACTTCGATGAGAACATGTAAGGATGAGCGAGTGCGAGTGGTTGAGCATGGAATGCCAGCAAAGAGAATGCATAAATGTAGAATATGAGCATGGATGATAGTAGCTACATTGTAATTCGTTTTGAAGCTCAACGTAATGAAGATTTGGGTTAGTATTCTCCTTGAAACATGATGTTTTTTATTTAAATTAATAAGAACTTCATTAAAATCACATAATGTATCATGCAACTAATCATAAGACATGGATTCATTTACCTCATTATTTCTCTTATTGGAGGGATCTTCAATTACCATCAAATAAAGATTTGTCTACTCTTGATCATATGATACTAAAATTGTTCCATCGTCGAGCGATACAGTTTTAGGGCGAAATTAGTTATTGAACAACAGATTCGACTTCGATCTGCTGCTGACTTGGCTGAAAATAGTGAGGCAGATGACGAAATGTCATGGTATAGAGGTCGAGAAGGTTAACCACCTATTTCTGCACAAGGTATATATACACCACTTGCAAAAAGAAGATACGCCACTCCTTAAAGTAGAAACCTAGATTACAATCTCCAAAATACTCAAATCAAAGCAAGAGTCCCAAAAACAATGAATTTACATGCATAAATAATCTCATGATAGAAATGATCTGATTATAAATAAAGAAACAGGAAGAAAATTTAGATATGGAAAAAGTCATGTAGAAATTGAAAACAGGATGAAATTGTGGTGTTCCATTCTCCCCCGATAGTGGAAACAATGATTTCTATAGGTTATAGAAGTCGTGAAATTATGATTGTAGGATTGTTGGCTGAATTGTGGAATTTTTGCGACCGGAATAACATGGTCTCCAATTCTCAAATTTGCGGGATGTTGCCGCGTCATTCTTTTGTGCTAGGAGAGGCTTTTTTTTGGAAGGACATGAACCCCACAGTTATAAATTCTTTCCCATGAAATCCTAAGAAAATTTCTAAAGCTTTAGTCCACCCCTCCTGTCTGATCATCTATTAGTAGATGTGCTGTTGAGTTGAGCTGAAACTTAACAATTAGATCAATCCATAACATTCTAGAAATAGCTCAAAATGTTTTCATGTGTGACATCTTGGACCTTCATTAGCAGTGACAATTTAGGAGGTTTGAAAATCCTGAATTTTTCATATTTGGGGTTGCCATGTGTCGGATATCAACTTCTTGAACTCTTGGCTCTCTTGGACAACCAATACCAACCCTATTGGTGCTCCTCTTAACTCATGTAAAAAGATAGTTTTTGGCGCCATTCTCAATCTATCTATGAATACTCATTCCCTTGGACTCTATCTATTAGTACAACCGATGTTAATCTTGCTAGAGTCTCTCTCAAGGACTCAATTTGAATTAGTAGCATATCTTCCTCGTCGGTTACAAGCTAATACTCCTCTTTGGCATTTACAACCTCTTTTATATTACTGCTCATTTCTTCAACTGCTCCCTGCTTAGTGAAGGATACAATTTTCCTATTTGGGCAATCTGAGGCAATGTGCTTAAAACCTTGTCAGTTGAAGCATTTCTTGGCTGGGCAGAATTGAGAGTGGTGGTGGGGTAACTTTGGATTGGTTTCTTCTCTGATGTGGTTGGTTTGGAATCTCCACTGGGTGTGCTTTTGCTGCTTGATCATAGTATTGAACTTTGCGTGTAATGTGTAGCGGTCACTTGGTGACGTTTTTGTTTCTCCACCTTCAAGCTAGAGTTTATAAATCAAGTAGGGAATAATGTGATTGCGATTGCACCATATTACTAATAGATGACTTCAATCCTTCAAGGTACCTCACTACCGTATGCTCCTTTGGTTCCACCAACTCATATTTTATATGAACTGATCAAATTCAGCTGTTTACTCCTCTACTGAAGAATCTCTCTGGCACAGGCAATGAATTTTAATGAACATATTCTATCTGTAATGCGGGGGAAGATGTTTGTGCTGCACCTCTCTTTTCTCTCAAACCGACATTTACTTTTTCACTCACTGACGAAGACGTTTAAGCTTCTCCCACTATAAGAAAGCATTCTTCCATAATTAAATAGAAACTATCTTGACCCTTCTATCAGAGGGAATCTCCTTATACTCAAAAGACTTGTTCCACAATTTGAAATTATTAGATGAACTCATTTGGATCCATACGTCCCTCAAAATCTGAACATTCAATTTTTTACTTCAACATTTTGGACTCTTTAATATTATATACCAAATCGATGAGTATGAGGTCTTAATCATTAGAAATTACCTAGTGGAAGAGATTCACTTCTTCCTCTTGATCTGATGAGTCACTATTGTAGCTATGGGCGATCTCACCAGATTGTCTCATCTCAAAGAAGACAAACCTCCATTTTAGTTGGGGGACTTTCCATTGCTTATCTTTCATAGTGAACTCCTGAATATCCTGTTGAGGGTTTCTCCTAGGCGAAATGATGTCTTTTTCTTCCAATGGTTGTGTTGATGGAAGATGAGTTAGGGCTAGGGCCAGGGCTGTGGATGATGAGGTATTTTTTTTTTGTGGGGGTGTTACGTTAGGGTTTATTATATGATGGCGGTGAGACCTTCAATGTTTTATGGTTTATAATGTCTGCCTTTAAAAGAGAAGTATAAAACTCAGTTAAGTGTTGCTGACATGAGAATGCTTAAGTAGATGAGTGGCTTGACATTTAGAGATAAAATGCAAAATGAATGTATCCGTGAAAGGGTTGGTGTAGCTCTTTTGGCACTCAAAATTAGAGAGTCGTCTTAGATGATTTGGTCACATTAAACATAGACTATCTGATGATCCAATTATGAGAGTGGTTGCTTTAGATTCAACTTATGCTAGGAAAGGTAGAGGAAGACCAAAAAAACTTGGGCATGTTGTATAAAAAATGATCTTAATTTATTAGAATTAAATGAAAATATGACACTCAATAGGACATGGTGGAAAAAATATTGATGTAACGGACCCCTCTTGGTGGGATAATGGCTTGTTGTTTTTGTTGAGTGTTAGGTTAGATTGTACGGATCTTTGGTTTTGTTGTAGGAAGGACAAATTCATAAAAATTTAGGTTTTGGTAGGCTCTGATACTGGATGCTATTGTTTTAGGGCTTCTAAAAGGTGTTTAAGAAGAAATTTTAGTAAGGAGTAGGGGATGTTTGTGGGATAACATAAGAAGGAGATTATGGGAGGTTGATGGGCTTGGAAAGGGTATGAGGCGAAATCTGCCGCTGGACAATAGTTGCAGCATCGATTGGCGACTGTCTCAACTGAAAACAGTGAGGCGGATGACAAAACAACGTGTACGAAGTTCGAGGAGGTTCACTATCTGTTCTTACATAACTACATATACACTACTTACAAAAGAAAGATGATACAACACTCCTCAAGGTTAAGACAAAAATAACAATCTCCAAAATACTCAAATCAAAGCAAAAGTCTCAAAAACATTGAAAATACATGCATAAA